GGGAGACCATAATCCTGAACTTATTTGGAGAAATTGCAGAAAGACAGACCCATTCACACATTAGAAGGGTAGAAGACAGCTTTTTCACAAACTTTTTTTTTTTTTTTTTTAAAAAAAAAAAAGTTGTCAGTCTATTAAACCACATTCTGTTTTATTGAATCACAAAAGACTTTTTTTTTTTCCTTTTTCTTTTTCCTCTATTTTTCCTTTGGACAATTAATGGAATGTTTGCTGGCTTTTTCCTCCAACTGGAGGAGATGGCTATTCAGAATTAGTAAATCAAAGGATTTAATATAAGAATGCAAAAAAATGATCAGCATGACACAATTTGCAAGTGGTGAAAGCTTTCAAAATAAAATAGACCTGTTCTGCTAAAGCCAGAAAACAATCCCCTAAATCTCAGCTCTCACTTTCCTGAAAAGGGGAAGTGAGGGAAGTTCAGTGTGTTGAGGACAGTTTCTTTCACATTTCCATTTTCTTTAGGTTAGCACAGCTTATCTGCATCGAGCCTTATAACTTGACTTGAAAACAAGAAACAGCACACAGGAAACCAGGGTGTCTTAATTTTAAATAAATCATGGTCTGACACTTAAATCCACTTCAAGTGTCTGTTTCATTCTTTATATTTTGTTCCATCTTCTTCAGTTAGGTTTTTTCTTATAGGTATTTACTGTATTTATTTATAAACTCAGCTACACAAAAGATGTATGAAGATAAGAATGGATGACTTCTACAAATATTTGGGGTTTTTTTTTAACAATTCTTATAAGTATTTTTTATTCAATTAATTGCCTGTACTTGTTCAGTTGAAAATAAAGGTCTTGTGCAGTCTTCAGGAAGTTTGTCTGAACCACTAAACAAAATTTTAAATGCTAATTTCTAAAGCAACATCAAAAAACTATGTTTGCCATAACTGAGTGTTTCAGTGTAATCCCAGACATCTGTTGTGCATGGACGTTACCAACTTAGAAAACTCTGATTTCTACTGTATTGTGCAGTGTGTTAATGTAAAGCCATGTAGTCATTGCAATCAGAAGCCCTAATAAGCAGGCAATCTTTGGCATTTCATGATTTTTTTTAAAGTTATCAATTTTTTACTTCATCACTGATAGTAATTTAGAATAGCATTAAATATTCCTATTTCTTTTAAAATCAGAAAACAAATGCAATGAACATAAATCTGAAATAGCCCTCTTGTTCCAAGGCTTTTTAATGTTATACTTGTCAGTGCAAACGTTATTCTCCTGTACTTAGTGGATCCTATCACCTGAAAACTTATGAAGGACTCAAGTATTAAGATGCACTTATCAGATATACCATGATCAAAAATCAAAATGCAGTGGATGATTTAAGATTCTTTGAAAATTTTCTCTCAAGCACCAAATTCTTCTTAATGCACAGATCTCAATTACATGTAAAATAAGCTAATTTTTCTTTCAAAGCGTGGACCTTTTAGAACTGCTTAAATTTCTACCCAGAAGAAAAATTACTCTTTGCTTAAACAATTAGTAAGAAGAATTTACAAATCTGCTTTTTTTTAAGCAATATACTGAGTAAAGCTCTAGTTTAAAAAATACTGTAATTCAGATTTGTAATGTGGCAAAACCTTGGATGCAACAAAAGTACTGCCAAGTTCTAGGTGTCCTGCTAACTGTTCCAAAGCACATAAGAATTATTCAGCTCAAAGCCAATTTTGCCATCAGGAATACTCTCCTTAAAAAGAAATCACTGAACCCCAGCTTAGCAAATTGCTTCAGCATGTGGATTTAATTGGCTGAACTAGATATATGTACAGTATGTTTTATTTCATTAGAAAATCTTGTTCAAAACAGACAATAGTGTCACATTTTGTCAGCCAGTATTTTCAGGTCTCCTGGGACTATAATGAATGAATGACAAAGTGGAGTGGTCTCCCAGGAAAAGATTCTTTTACAAGTCCCTCCATCATTATGGCAATTAAATAATTCTGCTCACCATTGATACAGCAATATTAGTTTAGTAGCCTAATTATCTGTGAATGTAGTAGCAATAAAATGATCCAGAATAAAAACTGGAATTAAGCTTCAAAAATCATTATATAAAACACACCCACACGCTGTTATAAGGAGCTATTTACAATTTACATTACATTAAATAAGGCAAATAAACAACTACATTCAGTAAAGGATAGCTCATTTTCTCACGGTTATTGACATCATCATGTGCCTCAATTCCAACAAAAAATTTAATTTCAAGATTACATCAAAATATTCAAAGACTGAAAATATACGTACCACTAAGAACTCCTTTTTGTCCACCATCTCATTGCCATCAGTATCAAACATGTTGAAAGCGATTCGGAAACCTGCATGTGGCTCTGCCAAAAAAAAAAAAAATTATTTATTTGCTTGGAAAGAAAGCAAATATAAAACTCTAAGAAATTATGTAGTGTCTGTTTATAAAAGCCATATCTTCAACTAATTTAAATTAGTGCATTTGTGTACACAGTAAACCCAAATTGTAACATCTGTAAAACCCTATTATCCATGTTATGAAAACAAAAGGTATGCTCACAAATTCATAGATTAGGGAAAATAGACAGTACAAATAGAACACGAAATATCCAAGAAAAAATATCTCACAGTAATGGCTGGTTGGGTAGTTAAGAGTGTTAAGACTCCATTTTACGCTACAAAACACAAATCTATAGAAAATAAATCTTCTATGAAAACACAGTGTTCTAAAAGACACTATAAAAAGTTTTGCAAAAAAGATACAAGATGCAACTTCTGCTCAAAACAAATGATGTGCTGAAGGAGACCCAGAATTTTCTTGTTTACATGCTTAGAGCCAATGGAATTTGAAATCAGGTTACAATTTTAAATTATTTCCAAAACACGGAGACTTTGAAGGTAACTGTAAGTGAAGCATTTAGGCAACATTTTGGTGATACTCAATGATTTGCAATATAGATGAATAATGCCCAAAATTTAGTCCAGATGACAAAAAAAATGATGGAAGAATATCCATCAATCCAACAGTTAGACATCGTGAGGGTTCATGGTCAAGTTCAGGGCCATTCCACTTTGTAGGAATTTCAAAGAAGAAAATAAATTTAAGTTTTTCACTGGGGTTCAGCTGAAGTGTACAGCTCAACTTTCTCAACAGTCAGTAATAGTAACAGTTCTAGATAATAAAGCACTTAAAGAAAACAACACAGGATTCCAATGTGGTAGGGGGAGGGTCAAATGGACACAGAAATACAAAATACATTTTTTTTTTTTCCATATAGAGATATACAGGAGAGGAAGAAAAAAAGGAAAGAAAATTAAAAAAAATAAAAGTATTGTCACGAACAACAATATACTCAGAGCTTAGAAATTTGTAAGGAAGTTTTTGGATTTTTTTCTCCAAAAATACTTACTTGTTAAAATACATAGGAGGAATAAATATTCTGTGTAAGATATCACACCTGAAGACACACAAAAAAAAAAGGTTATGCCATATTAGTGTCACCTTGTCTTCACGTGCTAAACTTGAAAATATTTTATCTACATGGAAGAAGAAGAGTTTTTGTACATATGCATATTCATACTTGTGTGTGTGTGATTGTATTCGATGTGGTCAATGAGTTATTTGTCTAAAATATCGATCTATCAGGTGTTTGTTTTGTTTGGGTTTGAGGATTTTAAGAGAGGAACAGATTAAACATAGCAAATAAACAACTACAGTCAGTGGAGAATGGCTCATTAAACAGAAGCTGGCTAGATTCTTAGAAGCTAATAAAAATGATTAATTTGGTTTTCTTTCCGAAACCCTCACCAATAATTCATGACAGCACTCTCTTAACGGTATGAGAACATTTACTCTGAGAACATTAATAGTGCTCCCTCGTGATACATACTATTTGAATACAGTGCTTGATTTTATTATGTGCTTTATAAGTGCATGTGCAATATTAATTGGAAACTTGGCCTCATGTTACTTATGAAAGCATAGATTTGGGGGGTTGAGTTGTCTTTATGTGCACATTTTCATAATCATCACCTGAAATTTCTATTAAAACTCTTCCTAAATCAACGTGTAAATTTTGTTGAATATTTTTATGCCCGTTAGAGACATTTGTACTATCTCTTCTACATTCAGAAGATCTGTAAGGAATACATGCTAAGCTTTGCCTCTTTGGAAGACAACCACAAAAGGCAACCACAGCGCAGAACGGCACTTCCTTTTCTCTTCACAAGTGATTAAGGCAAAATTTAAGTTAGAGCTGAAGTCAATATCCAAACAGTATGTCTGATACCACAGTCTGTACTTCTGCTTTTTCAAACTCTGGGGTAGAGAGCTAACATTGCAGAGTGTCCATGCTGCCAAGGCAGAGAAGCATCGTATAGTTCAGTAAGAACTGAGAATGATGACTTGCAGCTCTCCTAATATCCTTTCACTCTAATGGTCTTTGAGGCTGAACCTGCAAAACTGGTTCCTGATTTTTAACCAACTGATTCTGTCTGTCCTCCAAAATCAAGAGTGTGAAGTCAGTCCACCGTATCAGACTATTTCAAAAGAGTGAGGAAAAAAAAAAAAAAAAAGCATTTAGATGCCTGAGAGTAAAGATGTCTATCAGCTGGGATTTTCAAAAGTTGCTGGCTGTCTCCTTGATTTCAGTCCAAGTCAGGTGCAAAAGTTTTTAGAAAAACAGCCACATCTTTGGATGTTTAAATATCTTTTAAAATCTGACTTAGCTGGATATGTTAATATCGTCTGTAAATGGTAAATGTAAATAGTCATCTGATATTTTTTTCACTGAAAAACCTGAAAACTCAAAACATTGTATCATTCATGTGGACTTTACAGTTATTGAACACATTCAACATCAGCACTTCCAACACTGCCAAAGCAAGAAACTTTGGCATTTTCTACTAATACTTACAGCACAAAAAGTTCTAAATTAATTCTGTCCAGAAATAATACTCAGTAGGGACTTTCTGTCCTCTTGAATAGCTGAGATATGAAAGGCTCAGCTAGATTTCTCTTGGATCTGTCCAAATGTCTCCCCAAAGCTGGATGACCTTTTATGGTCCCTTCCAACCCAAACTATTCTATGATTCTATTCTATGAAAGAATCACTAAGCCCCTCAACCTTTACCAGCTGAAATGCTGCCCTCCCAACTTCCATTCCATTCATGGAAAAAAAGGTATTTCCCACCTTTTGATCCAACAGCAAATTTAAGCCTTCAGAACCAAGATTTTACTTCTAGTTAGGAAGGCTACTAAGTATTTTTAATACCGCCTACTCTTTTCCTCAATTTACACACAGCTCCACACTGAAGATTAGCAAAAATTAAATGCAGGCATTTAAGTGATGCATGCTCTTATGCTTTATCTTGATTTTATACAGCAGCTTGCAGAAAACAGTTTTCAAAGGCCTGCTTGAATCTGTTTGGACAAGCAGCTATCAAGAAATCAGATACCTCAAAGGTCCTCATTCAGTGAAGTAAAATGTTAAGAGCCAGTTGATAAATGTAAATATGTATTTTTGTTTGTTTGATGACACCTTCTTTGTTGTAAAACAGAGGAAGAAAGTGCAATTGTCAAGTAGTCCATCACAGGTATGAAGACAGCAATATAAAAGGCCTTGAAAGCATTCTCTCCTTCTGTTTGTACTGGTGTATTGTAGCTGTAGACAGGTAATTCTGGTTGATTGCTCCGAGTGTTATGGGAGAGAGGCTCTAAATGACGACTGAGCGGAAAGAAAAGCTTACACTAAGATCAGAAAGAAGAAAGGGATGCCACTCAAGAGTCAAACAAAAATATAACTTGAGGACAACTGGGATAAATCTATGTGGCTTATCTCATTTAAATGAATCTATGGCAAAATAAATGGACCTAGGCTTTTGCTACTTGCTTCATATTAAAATGTGCATTAAAAGAGAAAATGACTAAATTAATCTCGGAGTTTCATGTCATGTACTAAATAAACACTAAATCACAATTAAGGAGACCCAAATTCTATTCCTATTCCTTTCACTGGGTTCCTGAATTACATTATCAGCCATAAGAGACATCATCTTCTCTTATATTATTCATAAAATGGGATAATGGAATTCACTTTTTCGTAAGGCATGCTGAAAAGCTATGTAAGTGCTCAAGTTTATTACTAATTTTACCAGCTTATTACGACAGTTTTGTGTCTATTAATGCCATCAACTTCTGTAGAATTTCACTGGCAGAAAATGAGTAAGATACTGCTGAATTAGGACTACACGATGTTGCAGACATTCTATGATAGACTTAATAAGCAACAACCAGATATGGGGGTTCTTTTAATCGATTTAACAGATCCTGAAGCTAAATTTTTATGTAATTAGTATTTAAAAATCAGCTGTTCTGACTGTATAGAGAACAGCCTAGAGCAAGGAAATACAAGAAAATACAGTGCAGAGATGTGCCAGCTTCTGCCTCTCTGGAGTTCTGGCTGTAGAACTGTGCCAGTGCCTCCACGCACCAGACATTTCAGCCCAGGATCCTCCTCTGATGGTAGCTGCATATTCACTCCTTTAAGAAATGTAAGCTGTATTTGAATTAGATTAATTTACTACATGCACACATTTGATTGGAATTTTGTTGCTGGCAAGTTTATTTTAAACATTCATAAAGTGTCTTCATTTTATAGCAAGTACTTGTGGTTACTTTTAAATATGAAAACATTTAAATATGAAAATATTTAAACCGCTCCACCAGACCTGTGCCATTATGAATATAAGCAAAGGAATACGTGGATTATTTATCATAAAAAGCTTTTAAATACCTATATACAAGCCATCATAGGGTTCCCCCCCCCCCCCCC